CCCGTGCAGTTCGCACCCGGCCACATAGCCGAGTACGTTGACCCAGGAGTTCGGGGCTAACTGCCATAACCCCAACTCATACCCATCCAAGATCCGCTGAACAGCTGGATGTAATGCGAAGCGCAGCCCAGCCTTGATGGCCGCCTCGTAGCAGCCAAAGCAGGCGCCATCATAACTGGTACCAGCCGGCCATACGACTGTGTCTTCTAGATCCGGCACGAACACTAAAAAGCCGGGGCCCATTGTGTGGTTTGCGATAAAGCTCTCCACTTTCTCTTGCATGGCTGTGATCCGGCCCCGAGGTACCGTGCAGTAGTAGGGGGTATTTTGCTCTCGGTGAGAGGCGGATGGCTCCGCCCAATCGTCCCCCTTCTCAACTGCGTGAGAAAGCCTCGCCTCTTGTAGGCGACTGTTTTTCTCTTCTGTGTCCAGGGAAGCATGGCCAGAAGAGCTAGACTCAGAATCGTCCTCTGACGAGTCCGAAGAGGACGACTCTTCCCCTCTCCTGGAGGGGCCCGCCTCCTCTCCTTTAAAAGGAGCAGGAGAGAATGTAGAATTGTCAACTGTAAAATGGGAAGGGGTCACTTTGACTCCTCCCTCAGAACTGCCGGCTTTCAAGCCGCTTTGTTTCACTTCCACATCTGGCGCCTGGTCAGATGTTTCATTAATCGGCACCCTGTGGGAGGAGCCGTCTGAGTTTGAGATCCTGACAGTCTTTTTTGTTCTGGCCATCATGCTTTGCATAGACACAGATACAGTCGGACTTTGTATAAAGGGCAAAGATGGGTCCAGAAAAGGGCAGGCGGCACTCCTAGTCCTAGATTCAGCCGTCCCCGGTGACCGGCTGATCACTAACCTAGGTCGTGTCGTGTGCTTCCGTGGTGCCATTTCAAAAAAGAATAAAGTAAAGAGAAAATTAAGAGTAAGAGAACCGACGGTTACCTGAACGAGTGACGATTGATGAAGTTCTGAAAATCCTTTGCAGTCGGCTTGTCAGAGCAGGCGGTAGGCAGAAAGGGTCCAAAATGTCAGAGAAAGTTCAGGGGTCCGAATGTTCTCTCACAAAGTTTTCAAGTGTGAAAATGACCAAAGTCAACACTCCTTTATATAGGCGAAGTGAAAAGGCGAAGGGTCACTTCCAGAATTCAAAATTTTGGCGGGAGAATCTCTCGGCCTCTCGCCGAGTGACACCTGTAGCAGGCCGTCGCCTGTTACAGGGCGAGACCTGTCACAGGTAACACGTGACCAGTCACGTGCCACCTGTGAGGGGCAAATGATTAGGGGATTTTTCCCCACCAATCACCATCTGACAAGTGGACCAATCAGGTTCCGCCATGTGTCCGTCACATGGGCCAATAGGAGCCTGCCACGTGTCAAGCAATGATCCGTCCACTATGGACCAATTACGACACGACACGTGTCCTTCCCATGACACCTGGGATAACCGGTCACCTAGGCCCAACTTCCGAGGGAAGCCCAATCAGCCCAAGGTTAACCTAAACCTAGATTGACACGTTTCCCGAGGTTATAAATACCTCCCTTAATCCTCATTAAGGGAGATTACACGCTAAAAAGTAGATTACACACATTAAACACTCTCACCTAGAGAGACCCAATCACTTTAATTTCCGCATTAATTACTCCTTAATCAAGTACTAACTTGACCGTCGGAGGCAGATCTCCAACCATCCGGAGCATCCGTTTGTTTTGCAGGTACATGCGTCCGGTTCCAGTCTCGGAATTGTAACTCTCCCGCAGGACATCAGAAAACCCTGAAACAGTAGTTATCCGGCCAGTGAGGAAGATATCAAACGAGATGTTCTTGTACATTGGTGTCATGGGGCTCCTGGTGTTGCCCTTACTCTTGTTAAGGCATATCAGGTACATGTACTTGCGTCCTAATACTTTCACTAGGAATATTCTATGATTCCTTTCTTGGTATCATCATTCTTCATATCTTAATTGATTTAAACTTCCATTTGAGCAGCTTGAAGTTTCTCTAGGTATATTGATGTAGAACTAAAAGAAATATCTTCATCTACTATAGAAACACAACCAAGGCACCAACTAGGCAAAATCAACCCGTCACAACAATTGCTACTCCAATTCCAATTTATTTTTTTTGTTGATGTTTGCTGTATTGAATGCACAACCCTTTCAACAATATGTTTAGGCTTTTTACATCATGATTCGGATGTATAAGGCAACTAATTTCTCCTGTCGTAGATTTGGCTTCATCATTTGCTCTAATAATAGCGTGTCGTGCATTTTTTGAGGACTGCTTTACTAGTATGGTTAGTTAACAAATTAAAATTTGTTAATTTTTTGGGTAGGTTGATGTTTTTGTTATGTTGGTGTACGTGGTTGTTTTAGTTGGAAGTATATACTATTAAGATAATCGTAATAAATTGATTGGTGGGTTTCCCATGCCTTGAACAATAACTGTAAATTTTTACTTCATTCAGGGAACTACGAATCTTTTTCCTTTATTTTTCTACTCTCTCTTTCCCATATTTTGCCCTATAGGTGTTTGTTCACTTTGTTAATTATTGGTTGTGTAATGTTGATGAAGGAAAATAAGAATGGGTCCAGAATATTGTTTGTGGGAGGAAAATAGTGATCCTAAAGGGACACTCAAAAAAGGAAAGTAGAGCAAAAGTTAAGAGACAGAGGGAGTAGTTGACTTTAGCTTATTATTACGGAAAAATACTACGTTATACATTATAAGCGTGTTTGTTTTCCAAAGTACCTTTTTTAGAATTGCTAAACAATTGAACTTCAAGGTATGTTCCTGTCTTGGCTTTTTTATTGATTATTTATTTTATTTATTTATTTTTTATTTCTAGTGAGTAAATGAATCTTCTAAAAACACACATTGAACTTTAAATAGATTCTTTGTGACTCAAGAATATGGAGTGCTTGCTGATATACCTGATTGTTAGGTTAGTTGATATTTAAGCTGAAAATTCTACTAAGAAACCTTATCAGTATCCAATCTTTATTTAATTGAGAGTGCATATGTTGATGATCTCCAGTGGATTACTAATCTGCGATAAGCTGCAGTGCCATTTTTTATTTTTTTTTATTTATTCTTTTCCATGAGCTATCAGCTTATCATTATTAGAATAGCAGATTCTGTTTAAACTTCTCTGTTGATATTAGCCTTGATTGTTACTGAAATTATTATACAAATATTTAGGTATTCGGAGATACAGTATTTCTGGAGGCAGCCTCAGAGGCTGCTGAGGTGGTTTGGAGACGTGGACTGCTCAAGAGGGTTTGAATTTGCCATGGAATCAATGGAAATGCATATGTTTTCCTCTCTCTATACCGGTTGACAGGAAATTTGGGCTACTTGTAAAAAGCCAAAGCCTTTGCGTCCTTTCTTCTTGATAATGCCTCGAAACTAATTCCTTCCAGAGAGATGCACGGTGGGGACAATCCTTACTCTTTGTTTGAAGGGATTGGAGGTATGGCTTACCTGTTTCTAGATATGAAAGAACCAACATCTGCTAGGTTCACTACATATGAACTCTGAACTTGTGGGCGTGAATGAAATTTAGGCTTTGCTCATGTTTCAGATGGTAATTGTATCAAATAAGATCCGTTTCCAAGCTTTCCAGGTTATCTTTAAAGTCTTTTGTTCCATTGTAAGAAACAAGTAGGTCCTTTGTCCTGTATAGTTCTCTTGTATTTGAAAATTTCCAGACTTGTTTTTATCAGTATTTCCCTTTACTTACCTGATTTCACTCTAATGATGTTGTTATTTGCAATAACTGTGGTATATACACTTTTCACGAATAATAATTGTTCATCATAGAATAGAAGCCTTTATTGCTGGGAAAACTTTCTCCATTCTCTGATCGTATAGTATGTTTCTCTAATCTCATAGCTTACAAGACCAGACAGTACAACATCAAAACCAAAAGAAAAGTAATGTAGCTATTACTGAGCACTGCATTACGGTACATATAGCATATCTTCTGTAAAACTAATTATTTTACTGGGTGGAGTGTTTGTTGATGAAGGATATGATGTGTTCATTAACCTTGTTGGGCAACTGTGCTTGAACAAAATGGCTTCCTTCCGGCATGAAGACAATCTCCAGGTTAAGCACACTCTTCTTGATTGCTCGGCTATTTAAGTTTTCCTCCATGCCTGGGAATTTTAAGATAATGTTTTTCGCCCATGATAAGCAATGCTGGAGCTTTAACTTGTGGATTTGGAATATCAATATATACTTTGGTGCATGCTCCTACATTTAAACACAAAACTTGTTTCGGGGTTTTCTGTGTCCCTTGGGAGAGTTACATCCCAAAACTGGATTTCGCTCGCCTATACCTGCAAAACCACAGAAGCTTCGGATGGTCAGAGTTCCGCCTCTGACGGTTAACTTAGTAAAGATTCGGAGTAAAAGAGTGCAGAAAAGTAAATATCTTCCACTACTAGAAATAGGCCAAATTCCGACGGACTGTTTTCGACGGAGACGTGTTTCCGTCGGAAAAATCAGAAATTCCGCCGGATTGTTATTCCGTAGGAAATCCGTCGGAAATTTCCGACGGAATAAAAATCCGTAGGAAAATTTAGGCTGTTCCAACAGAATATTCCGTAGGAACAGTAAATTACCAACGTAAATAAAATTCGTCGGAACATTAATTTTCCGACGGATAAAATCCATCGGAACATTAATTTTCCTACGGAAATAAAATCTGTCGGAAATTTCCGACGGATTTTACACCATTTCCGACGGAATAATGTTAAAAAAAAAATAAAAAAATAAACCCAAAAAAAAAAACCAAAAAACCCTAATAACTTTCTCTCTCCTCTCCTCTTTCAATTCCTCTTCTCTTTCTCTCTCCTCTCCTCTTTAAAAGTTTCAATTCCTCTTCTCACGCCCCCCTCCATTCCTTTTCTTGCCTTTCTCTTTCCTGCTCTTCTTTCTTCTCATTCCCCTTTCTCTTTCCCCTCTCAACACAACCACATCCGCAACCACCTCAATCATGCATGACCTCAACAACCAGAACCACGCCTCATCTCAACAACCGCAACCACAACCTCAACAACAACCACACCCGCAACAACCACAAGAACCATCACGCGTCAAGCATCGTCAACCACCGTATTTGTGGAAATATGGGTTAAATATTGGTTAGTTTGTAGATGAAGGTTTATTTTTCACAAAATTTTTGATTATAATTATTTTTTTGATGAAATTGTAATGTAAGTTTAAAAATTTTGTAATTTAAGTTTGTAAATCTTGTTTTTCGGATTTTTAGACTATGTAATGTATAAATTATTTTCCCGATTTTTTGGTTTTTGTTTCTATTTTGGATTTTTGTTTTGGATGTTTATTTTTTTGGCGTTTATGAATTTTTTTTGTTTCGATTTGGTTTTTTTTTTTTCGTTTATCTGGGTGGGGTGGGGTGGGTGGGGGTCTGTGTGTGGGGTGGGTAGTATGGGTGTTTACGAATTTTGTTGTCATGGTTTGGTTTATTTTTTTTCGGTTTTCTAGGTGGTGTGGGTGGTGGTGTGGGGTGGGCGGTGGTCTGTGTGTGGGGTGGAGGGGTGGGTTGTGGTCTGGCCTGGGTGTGGGTGTGGGTGGTGTGGGGTGGGTGGGGGGGGTCTGTGTGGTGGTGGTTATGGTGTGTGGGGGGTCTGTATGTGGGGGGGGGGTGGGTGGTGGTCCGGTTCTTTGGAGTGGGTGTTGTGGGGTGGGTGTGGGTGGGGTGGGAAAATGGGTTGGACGTGGTGGTGGTGGGTGGTGTGGACTGGTGGCGGGGGTGGATCTGGGTGGGGTAAGGGTTAGGGGTGGGGCTGTTTTCTTTTTTTTTTTATTAACTTTTCCGACGGAAATTTCCGTCTGAATATACCTCTTTCGACGGAAATTTCCGTCGGAATATACCTCTTTCGACGGAAATATCTCCAATACCGACGGAAATTTCCGTCGAAAAACTGCGACGAAATTTCAATTAAAGTAAAAAAAAGCGCCAAGAGAAATAAATCCGTAGGAAATTCCGTCGGAATGGACCTTTCCGACGAAAATTCCCTCGGGATATAGCTAAATTCCTACAAAATATAATGCGACGGTGCCTTCCGTCGGAAACCGTCATTTTCGACGGAATTTCAGGATAATCTGAGGGATTATTTCCGTCGATGATTAGCTGTTTTCTAGTAGTGTTCTCGGATTCTGAAATCAGGTGTTTTCTCTGTTTTTCAGAATTGTTAATGATGTAATGATTGAACGTGTCCCCAAAATGGGGGGAATTTCCCTATTTATAAGGTCCTTAGGATTTGTGCCGCGGTCCTAGGTTACAAAAACCTAGGACTAATGGGCTGCGCCATTTAAGGCAGTCTAGGGAATTGGGCCTTGAAGGCCGCCAATACTATATGTATCTGCCTGCCACGTGTCTAGCCTTGGTAGGTCCACTTTGGGCTCTGCCTAGGGTGACACGTGTCACGCTCTGTTTGGTCCACGTGGCAGGGTAGAATTACCCAAATCATCACTACTACATTTTTTTTATCTATTGCAATCCCCAAATTTGTGGCATTAAGCGTCAAAATCCGTGGCATTAGGCCTAATGCAATGGCCATGTACCGTGGCATCTGTTGGCGTTGTAGTAGGTCTAATGCAACGGCATATGACCAATACCTGTTGCAACAGCATAAATTATCCGTGGCAATAGAGTACTGACTAATAACTATGATGAAATTGAACCTAATGCAACGGATGAAGCTAATTAATACAATGATAGGAGTACGTATCTACTGCAACGGATTGATCATTGGTTTTTTTTTGGGATGGAATAGTAATATAATATAAGTATAATTAGTCAGTACAAATCTAAATATTCTAATAGAAACAAAGTATCATTTATATATAATAATTATAATGCGAAATACGTACATTACAAAATATTACTTGCTTGTTTTTGGTATGACATACCCTACTAATAAAAACTAAAATTTATATAATCATCCAAAATACAAATTGTTAACATATATATAAGCCGGAATTCCAAATCTTCACAAAGCCGGAACTTGAATAAGAGTCGCCAACATATATGCACCATTTGTTAGATGACTAGTCACTATACTTCAGCTCCATTTAGCTCCCCATGCACCTACACATAAAATTGAAAAAATTAATAGAAATATAATTGAACTAAATTATAAATTATAATAGACCAAGGCCACAATCAACATGAGAAAAGTTCAAAACGCACAGATGATGGTTGTTTAATAGATGGCAGTAAAGAAGTTGCAATCAAGGTGTTCTAAAAGACCGAGGCCCCTAAGCAATTTAGCACTGAGGTTCGTAATTAGGCAACCAAATAGAGAATCATGATCTCTTGATATCATTTATGTTGTATGATATGAGAGCTAAAGCCTTAAGAAATGTTTTGGCACAAATTGAAGTGCTTGGTCGTATTTCTCACAAGAACTTGGTTTCTCTCGTTGGACACTGTAAACCAACTTGGCACTTATTTATGAGTTCATGGCCATGGGAGACTTGAAAGCTCTTCTCTGAGGTAAGACCTTGCATCCTAAAACTTCTACAGTCCTTTATTTTTTCCTAGCTGTTGCTCTTATTAATTGAACCAAATGTTTTTTTTTCCTTTCAACAACAATCAATTTGATTTTTGGGTGGTTTATGAACAGAATATTCTGACTCTATAAGCTGGAGAAAGAGAGTTGAGATAGCAATCGACACAGCTCAGGGTGAGAGATATAAGATAACATTCGTTTCTGCTTCTAAATCAGAATTTTTTATCAGATCACTCAGTATATTAAAATTTGTTGTGTAACTCTATATTTAGGATTGGATTACTTGCATCATGGTTGCAGCCCACCTAAAGTTCATAGAGATGTGAAACCCGCTAACATTCTTCTAAACAAAGAATTTCGAGCAAAGGTAGCTGATTTTGGGTTTTCCTAAATCTTCCCAGCTGAATATGTTTCAAATTTACAAACAAGGGTTGTTGAAACACTAGGCTATCTTGATCCTCAGTAAGTGAGCCATTTCATTCATTCATACATGACTATCTCACATATTCTAACACTCTTTTACCAAAGTAAAACTTTGATGCCACAATGATTTTAACAGGACAGGTGCATGAAAAAGGCGATGTTTACAGCTTTGGGGTTGTTCTGTTGGAGCTAATCACAGAGAAAACAGCAATAGTAAACAGAGTCATGAACTTGGGTAAATGGGTTAGGAGCGTGCTTGAAAGAGGGGATATAGCCAGCATACTAGAACAAAACCTGAAACAGAGTACGCGTATAAATGACAACTATCTCACTGTGTGGAAAGCAGTAGAACTAGCAGTGAGATGTATTCAGCTAGAAATTGCAGATAGGCCAACAATGACTCAAATAGTGACAGAACTCAAGGGTGTTTGAATATGATGAACACAAAAAGTTCTAGTTCAGCTAAAGACTCTCTAGAGATGATGAGCGCAGCTATTCCAAGTAGTACAATTTCAAGTAGTATGAAGAACACAGAAAGTACGAGTAGTAACTCAAGAATCTAACTCAATAATTATGTCCTTATTGATTGATAATTTAGAGATGTAGCAGGCTATAAAAAGCATGACCTCAGCAACAAAAACATACAACAATAAAAAGCAGCAGCGAACAACTAAAGCATCAACCATATAAAGAAAAAAAAAACAAAAGCAATAAAGCAATAGTGGGCATCAGAAAAAGACATCAATAGCAGCAACATTTCAACAGTAGGTTCAGATCACCAGCAAACAACAAATGCTAGAGAGAAGCAATATAAATATTTTATGTTACCTAATTAATTGTGGCACCATATTTAGAAGATTGCCCATTTTGGTCAACAAGAAGATGTGGCGCACTAGATGCATCCTTTGGAGGCAAGTGTAATTAGCAAGGAGAGTTAAAAAGCCTAAAACTAATAATATTAAGGGAGAACCCATATCAAAGTACAATCATTCTTCTAGTATTTTAAGAACCACCATCAAATAAACAATACAAATCAAGATAAACCATATTTGCAAATACGAGGGCACATTGGAGTAAAAATGCCTAACCCATCAAAGGAAATAACAAAGAAAATAACAAAAGACAGTTTCTTGAGATTGCTTAGTTGCTGGTACAAGGAATGGGTATTGTCCAGGATTCATAAATAAATATACACATGTGAAAAAAGCATAAACACAAAATACAACAATAAAAGGTAAATGACTAAATGTAGATGGACATAGATGTGTGTTCTGTATTTGATTGTATTAAAACAGCTCCAGTTTGATCAAGTCCAACGTATATGCAGTGCTAGTCATTCTATCCCATCAGGATTCAGAGCTACAAATTCTAAAAGCATTTAAACACAACGTATAGAGGAGATATATAGCAGATCCTCTAACTTTTACTTAACTCAACTGACTGTTACAAACTTACGGGATTCTTTTGCTGGGCTGCAAGTTGACACTCACTTAGTTTTGAAAGGAATGGTGTCCTTCCAACTAGTGTATTATTCGGATAGAGGGTTCAGAATTATTACAAAGCTAATTCTTCAGTAAGGTCAAGTGATCGGAATGCCTAGGTTGAGGCCGCTTCCGAGCAGTAATATTAAGGTATAATTAATATTACAACTTAATCTTAACTGAACCCTTCGGGTCGAACCCAATCGAACAACCAATCCGAGACGACGAATTAATTCGAAAGATTTAATGAGTTGTCGGAGTTTTACGAACACAAACGTCAGATATATCGAGCCTAGGGCGTCGAGACCGAGCGTCACAAAATCACAAGCAATAAGTACGAGCATAGCCGTAGCATCACATTGGCCTAGCCATGTGAAGTGCTAGGCTAGGCTAGCTCATCGCAAGCCTAGGCGCACCATGTGTGTGCTAGGCGCACAAGGCAGCCCATCGCAGCAGCATGCTTGCGTGTGTGCGTACCTTCGCATGGCACAGCAGCACCGCAACATGCGTGCTTGGGTGCCTAGATGCCATCGCAGCCTTCGCATGGCATGGCAGCACCTTCGCACAGCCCATCGCAAAAGCACAGCACCATCGCAGTGCTAGGCACTGGCGTGTGTGCGTGTGTGTGTGCCATCGCACAAGCACAACACCATCGCAGTGCTAGGCACTGGCGTGTGTGCGTGCGTGTGTGCCATCACACAAGCACAACACTATCGCAGTGCTAGGAACTTGCGTGTACGTGCGTGTGCATACCCAGGGCTATCGCACCATCGCAGCACACAACACAACACTAGGCAGCGTAGCCATGTGCGTGTGCATCGCACCACGCATGGCATTCTTGTGCGCGTGGCTGGCGAGGCATTGCCCAGCATGCGTGGCTCGCTAGCAGCACGCATGCTGGCTATGCGAGTGTGTGCGAGAAGGGGCTAGGCAGCAGCACTACGCAACAGCTAGTCTGGCTGTGCATGTGCGTGTGCGATGGCTGGGCAGCAGTGCCTAGCTAGCAGCACACAACGCCTACCAAGCAGCAGCAACGAAGGCATCACCCAGCACAACAGCATGCAGCGCGCATGTGCTGGCCTGGGCTGATACATATCTCCAAAGTTTATATTTTTTTTCCGGGTCCCGACTAACCTTCGGGGCTTAGGACGATCGGGTCGGGTTTGAGGGTATGAACCGTCGGAGGCCTTGCATTTGCGAGGTTGAAGTAAGAGCTCTATTAGTGAGCGAAGCACGCGTCTAGGGAATAATTCTTTATCCCTTATTCTTTTAATTATGTATTAATTATGTTTTGCATGCTTTAATTGCTTTAGTTATCGGGGCGGGTCTTGAGGGTTTCTTTACGCTCCTTTTAATTATTGCAATTATTTATTAATTAAGGTGTTTTAAAGTGGATTTAATTTCTGGTTTTGCTTTTCTAATTGGATAGGAAGCTCGTTTTAATTAATTTTAAAACTCGTATTTTTCTCGTTTTGGCTGTTGAACCTAGATTTTGGCTAAGAAATAGTTTTTTTTTGGGTGGAATCGACATTCTAAATCAGTTTTAACCCTCTATAAGAACTGTCCATAAGCCAAATTCGAACCAGAAACCTAGTTATTTGAGGTTTTTCTTTTCGTTTTCAACAAAAATTTTAAATCTCTTATGCCTTGATTTATGCAAGCATGTCAAGGGTAGATTGAATGCATTATTGCATCCCTATTCTACTGCAATTTAAATATCTTTTATGCCTGATTATGGAGTTATAATATGTGCTTAAGTAGATATGTTCTTTTTCACATAAACTTGTTTTTCACAATTATGCAAATAAATTGCATCAATGTGTGAATACTTGTTGTGAATGTGTAATTTTAAGTTCCTAGTATGTTAAAGATCTAATCTTTAAATGTTTAATTGATTGGAACTTTAACCCTAAATTCCATGTTGAACTAATTTTGGATTTTTTTATTTGGTTGATTAAAATCCTTGAAGTTCAAATGCTTGTGAGTAAATGTTGATTAATCTTCATGTTGGAAGATGTAATCTTGTTATTTTACACAAGTATAAAAGTTGGTAAATTTTATCATTGGATGATTAATTTATTTTTCCAACTCCCTATTTGTCAAATCCATTATTAATTTTCATATTGGTTAAATTAATTATGGACATAGCTCTTTCAATTTTTAAGCATCAAGAAAGACCTAAAAATGTTCCGAAGTAATTTTGAAAAATTAGGCTTGTGCACCGTTAAAATTGAATTTAATTAAGTTGAACTTGTTTTATTTTCATTTTTTCCCTAAATTAATTCTAAAATAAATTTGGAATTAATTTTGTGTCACAAACAAATCGAGATTAAAATCCCGAGAAAATGCACGTAAATCGAGGCAAAAACCCCAAGCGTCACCATGGCTAGCCAGGCTGCTTAGAAGCCCGCATGTAGGCTGCCTATGGTGCACACAGGTACCATGCAATGATGCAGTTGTGCGAGTGTGTGGCAAAAATTGTTGCCTGCTGTTGCGTGATGCCTGTGTTGGGTGCGTGGGCCTTAGGCTGCTCGCGTGCTTGTGCTGCTGCTGCGCCAGCAAGCAGCTAGCATGCGTAGCGTACTGCTGGTGCTAGCTAGCTGCCAACACCACACGCACAGGCCATGGGCTTCCTAGCAGCCATGGTGCGCAACCCACTAGGAATTGTGTGGGCTGTTTTTTTCTTAATTTCCAGCTATGTATTTTTTGCGAAAATTTTGCCGTTTTAAAATATTTATGTAATTATGTTAACGAGGTTAGACCTCGATTTTTCCGGCTTTTGCAAAATTTTTGATTTTTACAAATTTTGGGTTAACCGACTTAATTAATTGATTTAATTAAGGTGGATGCGGAATTTAGTGGGAGCTTGTCTAATTACGTGAACAAATTGCACCTTGGTAATACATAATGTATTAAACAACTTTGACTAGTTTTAATTAGGCGCGTTAATTGGATTAACCACCTAAGTTACTTACTAGTTTTGCGTGTTTACTTGTTTTATCTCGTAAAATGCATGGGTCATTCAGAAATAGTGAATGGGTGAATGAAAGATTGTTTCAAAACAGGTTTTGAGAAAAATGGCAACTAGTGGGACCCGACTAGGATAGAAAATACGAACTGCGTTCCGTTATGTATTTTTGTAAATCTAAATACGGTCTGCGTACCGTTAAGTATTTTGGTACTTTAGATTTATCTTAGTCGTAGTAGCTAGTAATTTTATTTTGGCCAAGATGTCTCAAGACGGCGTTTCGATGAAGACGAGCCAAGATGAAGGCCCTTGAAGATTTGAAGATTTCAAGGGGTCATGCTAGTTGCCAAATGCATCTATTTTATGCCTTATATATATTATTGTTATATATATTTTAATGTTAGATGCATGTATAGGATTTCAAATTGCGATGATTAGTTAAGTTCACTTAAATCAACCAACATAGAAACCCTAGGTCCCTTAAAATATTGAGCTAAAAATTTTGTCGTTCCAAGAACAACACTTACCGAACTAATGATGGGCTACGCCAAAGCGAGGCATCACTACTAGGTATACAATTTGTCTTGGTTAAGCTCACATATATTAGTAAGGAGTCCTTAGATGTCGTGGCAAAAAAGATAAAATGTCAAGAATGCATTAGATGCGACGTTTTATCAAATCGAGAGTATCTTAGTGCTATTAGCAATTGGATTGCTTACCCTAAAATATCTAGTGTTAAGACAAGCCAAAGCATGCTTAATCACTTTTTGATTTTTGGGATCTCGGAATCATTTTATTCTCGCCTAAAAGGGACAATTAATTAATGCGTGGATAAAATGCTCAATAAGATTGAAAATTTGCATGATCGCTTTTAAATTTCAAACTTATTGCTTTATGAATGGTTTTTCATTTAAAATTCTTTCAATTGTAGAACAATGTCTGCAAGTAACTCAAACAACAACCATGTGTGCCCGGAACTCCAT